ATTCATGCAGAATATATAAGCCATTGCTTACATGAGTTATTCAGTCTGACCCACTGCCAGCAATCTTTAGAACTCATGTACACTGAAAGGTTTTATCTTCTTCATTCCTTTGAAAATAGTGCAGTCAGTCAGTCATGATCAAAGCAACAACTGTGCTGATTTCACTCATATTAATCACAATATCACAAAGAGCCCACAGAAAGATAAATATTCATTGACTAGCATCCAGTTGGTTGAGCCCTTCAGTGACTGCGGCATGTTGATTTGAAACATGTCACTTGGCTGTTTTCATACATATTGTTAGGTATTATTGGCATAAAACACATAAATGTCTGACACTGTACATTAACAAAGCCTTTGTAAACAATAGCTGATTGTACATTGAATGACAGGGAGCAATTTGCAAAGCAACCTTCCTCCAATACTGCCACATCACTGGAACTGGAACAAAATCAATGACTTTTCCTTTGATACAGAGTTAAAAGACAGCCATTTCAAAGCTATTGGAAACAAAATAAACTAACACAAATTTTACAGCTGGCGACAATATGCAATCTATGTGTGATGGACTACATAAATGTACAAGATTTAGTATTCAGCATGACTGATACAAGCTTTGGGTCTGGCTTTGAGATTCTCTTCAGGTTCAGTAATGGGCATAGCTGGAACATTTGCAGAATCATTTCTAGACTACACAATGTCTAACATGCAATATCAAAACCTAGGGATTTTAAAACTTCCTTTAATTAATGAAGAAAAACAAGATGGATTCTAATACGGTTATGAGCTCTGACTCATCTGAGTCTATGGTAGTCTCTACGCTCAAATGTGCCACTAAGATCTGTACAGAAATGAATGTGGAATGAGTTAACTGGCTCTTGGTCGTCTCTGTTTGAAGTAGACGATGAGTTAAGACATTCTATGAACTGGCTGTTCTAGCATTCAGGTAGTTGTTTAATAATTATAGCCTCATTTAAAGTCAACGTAACATGAATAATTCCTAAATCTTCTGTGATGCAAGATAAAAAACCAAATATCTTGAAATGTGCATATACTATATGCATGAATATCACATAGATTTACATTTTAGCTCATTCACAAAACATTTACCACATGCCATTCCACATGGGGAGACGATGGCCTAGTGGTATTATCGCTGGACTGTTAATCTAGTGACCCAGATAATATCCTGGGGACCTGGGTTCAAATCCTGCCTTGGCAGATGGTGGAATCTGAATTCAATAAAATATCTGGAATTAAGAATCTGATGATGATTGTTGATTGTTGGGGTAAAACCCATCTGGTTCACTAATGTCCTTTAGAGAAGGAAACTGCCATCCTCACCTGGTCTGGCCTACAGGTGACTCCAGACCCACAGCAATGTGGCTGACTTTGAACTGCCTTCTGGGCAATTAGGGATGGGCAATAAATGCTGCCGAGCCAGCAATGCCCACATCCCATTAATGAATAAAAAAACAATTACTTGGTATTTAATGGACATCTACTGAAAGACCATCATCCCTGGGGCCAATACCATATTTATTTGGCCTCTGTGCACATGGACAAGCACTGGCATTCTGAAGCTTCCATTCCAGTTTGATAGATTCCAAAGTGGCTGATAATGACACGCAGACTCTGCAACATGTTTGATAGCTGCTAGTTGAGAGGTCAGGCAAATGAGGTAGCTGTCACTCTCTCTAATGTTTTGATTGTGCCTCTGCATACCCCCAAAGATGTCTCTTGGTGCATTCAGTGTCTTCTCAAATAATACTACTCCATTTTGATTGGTCACAATTCAAGGATTCCCATGAGTCAAGGGGCAATGTTTGGTCCCTTCTGAGACATTTTGAGGACACCCATACAATTTTCTGCTGTCCTTTGGGAATATCCTACTATCATTGAGTTCCAAATGTTATAATTGCTTCAGGAGTCTGGTGCCAGGCAAACAACAACATATGTTGTCAAGCGGGGATGGTTTTGAGTGCTTGATATTGCATGCATGAGTTAATGTACAGTGTTCTGGGTACAATACTTTTCTCATACTTCTGTCTGAATAAGTATACCCAAAAAAACCATTGAAGGTATGAACAATACACAACAGCGTATCTAACCTTTGACCCCCTTAAGTGAATAGTTGGTATGTAAGCAAATGTCTCATTGATGTTTCTGCAGCTCTTTGGTTGTGAGCCAGCAGCTTAGAACTTCAATTTACACACACATTCAATGATCTGTCCTACCTAGTAAGTATTAATTGCCCTAGAGAATAGGTGGCAGTATTCATTATGAAAGGCTTGATAAGTTTACAAACACTCAAGCATCATTTCACCCAAATTGAAATAGTTTGAAATTTGCATTGCAAACAAAGCACGTTGAAATGGCCTCCATTTAGATGAGACAAGGTCGTGTTGAGGGGTGAGGGTGGGTCATGCTGACGGGTGTGGGAGAGTCATACTGACGAGTTTCAGGAGCATTCATTATCTTCTATAGAAGATAGAACAGAATAGTGTCATTTTAGTGTGGTATTTTATATTAAGAACATAGAAACAGGAATAGGCCTTTCAGCCCATCGAGCCTGTTCCGCCATTCGATGAGATCGTGGTTGATCTTTGGCCTAACTCAATATATCTGCCTTTGTTCCATAACCGTTAATACCTTCACTTAACCACAATTTATCTCAGATCTAAAATTAACAATGAATCCAGCATCAACTGCCATTTGTTGAAGAGAGTACCAAACAACTACCACCATTTGTATTTAGAAGTGCTTCCTAACATCTCACCTGAACGGACTGGCCCTAATTCTTAGCAGACTGTGCTCTATGTTCTGTCATGGACTTTCTCCAAACCCGAAAACGCATACTCCAAACCCGAAAACACACACTCCAAACCCGAAGACACAATAGACACGGGTTTTCCCTAAGATGATTTCAGGCAACCAAATCCAGTAATTATCTGAAACAACGTGGTTTCCTAGAAATGCTTTGTTTTAAAAGATCCATTAAACTTGTAAAACAAAACAATCCAGCAAATCAAATCCTTCAATCTAAATTCCACAATCATTAAATGTGAAGCATCTTCACTAACTCCTCCCTTGAAAAAAACTGAAATTGATGTTGCTTTGATAGTATACATTATATATGATCTGTTGGGAGCACTCAGCCTCATGAACTGAATTATACCTCATTTCATATTTGTAATGAAGTTGTCAGTTCTTTGTACCAACACAGCCTTAAAACAAAACACCTTGATTATACAACCATATTACCTCAACAAAATAAATCTCCCTTCTGGCAGATATTGTTTTGAGGTATCAGGAAAATAAATTGTCAGCGGTGCATCTCCACAACTGAATGAATAATCCAACCTGACCCTGAATTTGTTTCCATGATTTGGACGTGGATACACTCTGCTTCACTTATAGCCTATGAGTTGTTTATCACTTTGAAGTGTGTACACATTATTCTCTGCATTAAGAACATTTTTTGTTATTTTAGGCAATCTAACAATACTCAGTTAAAAAGTCAGGCAGGGTAACTTGTAACTTGCAGAAAAGATTTACAAGAATGTTGCTGGGGTTGGAGGGTTTGAGCTACAGGGAGGGGCTGAATAGGCTTGGGGCCGTTTTTCCTGGAGCATTAGAGACTGAGGGTTGACCTTTTGAAGTTTATAAAATCATGAGAGGTTTGGATAGGATGAATGGCCAAGGTCTTTTTCTCAGGGTAGGGGAATCCAAAACTACAGGGGCATAGTTTTAAGGTGAGAGGAGAAAGATAGAAAAGGGACGTAAGGGACAACTTTTACATGCAGAGAATGGTGCGTGTATGGAATCAGCTTCCAGAGGAAGTGGTGGAGGTGGGTACAACATCAACATTTAAAAGGCATCTGGATAGATACATGAAAAGGAAGAGTGGAGAGGGATATGGGCTAAATGCTGGCAAATGGGACTAGATTAATTTTGGATACCTCGTCAACATAGACAAGTTGGACCAAAGAGTCTGTTTCTGTGCTGTACAACTGTATGAGCTATATAACTTCTCAGGCTCAATAGCAGCTTGACTAGTTACTGTGAAGCAGAAAACAGTAGCAAAGGACAAATCATCCCTCATTTTTGTCTCTCTTTGGGTTGGGGTTTGGCACTGGGAACCGCAACCTCTCTCTCTCAAGCAACAAATAAAAATCAAGGAGTGAATGCTGGCATTTTGCCCATTTCTACAGAAATCTGGTAGAAGTGTGACATGTTTTGGTGTGCTAAGACTCTGATATGGTAGATAGCAAGATCACTCTCACTGATGACTGAGTTGCGTGTACCCACCGTATTGGTATACACAATAAAAGCATGTGCATTGTAAGTGCCTGAAACAGGTCTCAAACCCTTTTGTGTATGCAGATAAAGGGTTTACCACTTGCTTGAGGCACCATCAACAATGTTAGGTTGCATTGAAGCACCTGATTCTACTGTTGGCTGCGTTCAGGAAAACCATGTCTACATGCAATTTCAAAGGAGAATCTTTAGACCAACAGCAAAGAGGTAAAGTCATTTTAAAAAAAAGTCTTACCTGAATTTGGCATTGGGGAGAACTGGGTACAACTTATAACCCTTTTACTGTGACCTTGATTTGGCCCAGTTATCTTGATCTCTTCTAATTGCAACCTCAAACTTCCCCAACACAAGCACCTGCCTCTTTTGGCCCTTGTCATCCATTCCCTTTAAGGACTGTTTAGGGCTACTGCTGACATGCAGTGACATAATCTACAGGGCTTCCTCTTCTTGAGTTTTGTGTGGATCCCCGTTAGCAGTCTGCAAATTACTGACTGGATGATAATGAGACCTAACAGCCGACAAGAGCTGCACCTCAGGCCTGTCTGTTGAAACTCAAGGGTTCTTGTGTTCCCTCAGCATGCCCATTGTTTTGGGTGCAAATGAATTTATTTTGGCGGCATAAAATGATGGCAGCTGCTGAACTTGTCCAAACAACACAAATTTATGCTGCTGATACTTACATGTTGCCAGTTCTATTTTCCGCTTATGAGGAGGATCTTGAATAATTTTGTTAATGTCACCTCGACCTTCAAGTTCCACAGGTTTTTCCCACACTGACAGTTGTATTGAGGGGTTGAAAAAGAAAACACGGTCATCTCCAGTCCAGACTACACACCTGTGCATATAAGAAATTGTATTAATAAATAATAGAAAAAAGTATTACCAAAGAGATCTACTTTTGATTTTACTGAATGATTTCAGTAAGGTAAATAATTTACAAAAATTTAAAGTGCAATTGAGTATTGTGCATTTTTAGTTCTTTTTGAAAATATTGTTCAATTGAATCAGTTTAAGTCTCAGCTCATGAGAGCAATGATTCTGGCATTGTTGACAGAATAACACGAGATTAAATCATAAAACAATACAATTTAAGGATCCAAAGAAAATTTGCATTTAGCAAAACAGGACTTAGCCCTGCTTACAATTCAATTCAACTTAACAATGCTTGTTATTTGTTCTGACAGTGCTGTAGTATTTAACGTGCATAATCTATATGCATAAATTGTGCTGCAAATGGTTTTAGAAGTTGTCACAATTGAAAAGAATATGTATAACAGAAGCCTGCTCACTTTATAGTTCTTATTCTTTTCATCTCCTCACTCTAAAGAAAACACAAATCTCTCTTTTGATTTTTTTACATCACAACCATTCCCAAGTTGAAAGTACAAACATAAAACTGGATCATCAGTCTTTGCACTCCTAGTCAGGAATATGTAACAGCCCCAATTTTAACCGCAGCTGCTCAAAGTGAATGGGGCAGGTCTGGGTTGGCCCCCAAGATTTTCCTTCTATTGGAATCTGTATGGAGCTGTTTAGCAGTAGGAAAGTTCGCTTGGGGAATGGATCCATGGGTAGGTGATGGGAAAGAGTAGGGGGAGGGTCAGAAGAGCAAGGCCCAGAATAGACCAGAAATAGAAAAGATAAATATTCAAGGGGCCACAAAAATCGTCATCAAAAACAAAACCAATTCTATTTTTTTTCTCTGCAGTGGCCTCTTTAAGAATGTCTGGTTACACAACTCAATACTTCTCACAACTGGATGCTCCAAGGTATTGACCTGATAACTGAACAAAGGAACCATAAGAGATACAGAGAAAAGGACAGACACTGAGCTGAAAACAGAGAGACTGACACAGAGGCAATAATGGCTGTACATGAAATAACCTCCATCCTTGAAGTTACGTAAACATAGGTGTTGATTCCAGCAACAATGAAGGAGGCATAAGAAACAGTCAATAACTCAGAGATAGAAGAGTGCAGTCGTGATCAGTTAATGCAAAAGATATGAAGAATGTAGCTGAGTTCAGTGTCAAATTGAATGCCAAGTTTTATCAAATTAAGCCAGAGCAGAAAGCAAGGGTTTAATGATCTGCTGAGAAGCAAAATCTCATAGGGTAGGATAGAAACAAAAGTAGGCCATTCAACCCATGCCCGCCATTCGATTCAACTGTAACTGATTGAACATTTCATTTCCTTTTACCCATCCCTATAACCCTTTACGTTGCTGATAGGAACAGGAGGCAGCATTCAGCCCATTGGACCTACCCTGCTATTCATTATGATTATGGTGGATTGAACACTGAGGATAGGAATACTTGTCTTTTTGTCAACATTAATATAAGATTTTGCCTCACCAATAAAATGATGCATAACGTTGAAGGCACAGTGTCAAGTGTGAAGTTAATACCAGTGGCAGAGGGGTAGGCTTGGACTGGATGATCGCAAATGTGGAAGTAAAATCTATGCATTTACGTGTTCACTGACAAAGGCATAAATTACTGTCCATCCCTAATTATCCTTGAGAAGATGATGGTTTAACTGCTGCAGTGTAACTGATGCAAGTACTCAAACAGTCCTGATAGGTGTGGAGATCTAGAAATTTGGCCCCGCAACCAATCAATCTCCAAGCCTGGATGCGGTGTGATGGAATATGGATCTTGGAGGTTACTGTCGAAGAGTTGCAAGTTGCTGCAGTGCACCTTGTTAGTGATGCATTCTGTGACCACAGGGACTAGCTGGTGTAGGGATGAATCTTTAAGGATTAGGATGGGTGCGCTAATCAAGTGGGCTGTTAAACATTGTATGGTGGTAAGCTTCTTGAGTGTGGTTGGAACAGCTGTAAACCAGGCAAGGACAAATGGTGGGCAGAAGAGCACAGGAAATATGCCAACTCAACGACAGCTATGATTGATTCTTCAACTCAGTCAAGACCATTTATAATCCAAGAACCCAAGGACCCAATCCACCAAGAGCCAGAATGGAGTACGAATCAAAGACAAAGGGCCAGTGAGCACTTCTTGGAAGGAACACTTTAAGGATCTCCTCAACCCATTCTTAGTTTTTGATGTCAGTGCACTTGACAAGAGCATGCTTCTTGCACCGTCTTAGCACAACCCAGCCCAACATGAAACTGAAAAGGCCATTTGATAGATGAGAACCAACAAGGCCACCATTTCAGATAGAATCCCTAGCAAAATACTATAATAGGGCAAAAAAGCATTCTTGGCTTGCCTCATCTGGAGGGAGAACATCATGCCAAAGGATAACCAAGATGTTGTTAACTGTGACCATTCTCAAGGAAGGATGATTGTGGTTACTAGAGAGGAGTACGCTGTTGTCTGCTACAAGAAGATCATTGCAACAATCCTCCTCAGTTACTTCCTCCACACTGCTGAAGAGTCCATCCCAGAGTCACTATGCAGACCCTGGGCATCAAGAGGCATAGTTGACATGATTTTCACAACATAACAAACTAAAACAAAAGTACAGAGAGCAGCAATATCTCTAAATATCCTTCTTTGACCTTACAAAGACTTTTGACTGCGAACCAGGAGGGACTATGGAGTGCCCTCCTCAAATTTACTCGTCCCCAAAAATCTATCATGATCTTTTGCGTGATATGTAAGCTGTAATCTACACCTCAACACATGAGCAAGCTCGTGTCAAACAAGAAATGAATAAAGAATTGCAGATGCTGGAGATCTGAAACAAAAACAGAAAATGCTGGAGAAACTCAGCAGGTCTGGCAGCATCAGTGAAGAGAAGACAGAGTTAATGTTTCAAGTCCAGAGATCCTTCTTCAAACAAGGCTCTGTCATGGCACCGACTCTCTTCTCCACCTCCTTTGCCGCAACACTCCACCCCGTATCAGGGAAGTTTCCCACTGGGGTGGAGGTTCTCCACAAAATGAGTGGGAAAATATTAAATCTATGTAACCTCCAGTGCAGAACCAAGGCCACCCAAACCTCTTTTGTTAAGCTGCAATTTACAGATGATGCTTCCATATGAGTATACTCAGAAGATAAGCACCAGACTATCACTGGGTGCATTTTAGGAGGCAAAAGAGAAAATGATTTAAAAGCCCTTCACCAACCTGCTCCCACTGCACAGCAGCGCCCTGCCCCTCCCCCAACAAGATCCACAATTACCCACTAAATAATGTGGACCAATTCCCATACTTTGGGAACCTTCTTTCAGTGAGTGCAGACGTCAATGATTAAAAGTAACATCACCTCTAGTGTGCCAGTGAAACCTTTGGCTGTCTGAGGATCAGGGGCATTTGATTCAGAAGGCCTCAAAACTGCATGGCATGCATGTTACTTGTCCCTTCACAGTCATCCATGGATTGAAACTCCAAAGGCGCCGTTTTAAAGCATTTTTGCAAAAGAAGCAAATATGAGGTCAGAATCTGGAAGTGTGGGAGATTCAAATGAGGCATTGGCTGGTTATTTCAAACAAAATACTGTGCAGGGTTGCAGGAAAAAGACAGGAAATTGGCTCACATAAAATACTCAGAGGTCTGGTGCAGTCACATAGTTTACTTGGCCTCCTGCTGCACCATAATAATTGTATAATTCACTGCGATTAGTGGGAATTGAAAATAAGTTGTCTTGGTAATGGCACAAATAATGATGTGTTATTGTGGTGTGGGAGTAGTAAGCAAAGCTACTACAGGTGATTCTCTGTTGAGAGAAAGTGGATTAAAAGGAGGTAATGGTTTTAGAAAATGGAGTACCGACAGTGACTTTAAGGGCTGAGTTGATGACATGAGTTTGGAAAGAACAGCATTTTTCCAGAGAATTGCCAGCATTACTATGAGACATGAATAGTGGTAAGGAGTGGGTGGTTGCAGACTGTACCAATGGTTTGAAAGAATAGCTGGTGAGCTTCAAGAAGAGATAAAGACTGAGGTAGCTGGGGTTTCATTAGCATCAGACATTGGGAAGGAGTACAAGAGGAAATAGGGAAAAAGAAGAGCTGTTAAGACAGTGTTGGCGAAAAGCGTGATCTAGATTTTGAAAGGAAATGTATTCCACTTCGTATTTATTATTGTGGATATTGTAGATAAGGAATGGAATGGTTGGGAGATAGGGTGCAAAGAATGAACATAAGTAGAATATGTGGTTTGTCTTTGAACATAGAGTTGATGAATTGTTCTAGATCTCTGAAGGATCACAGAGTATCTCTCAGAGAACTTGGCAATGTGGTGGAGGTCTAATTGAGTTTTCAAAATAATTAAGATGAAAATACATAACTTGAATGCAGGAAGGCAAGACAAGTCAGCTCTATAGACATCCAATGTAAAGTATGCTGAGACGATCATGTTAATTTGTGAATTTTCCAACACACTCCTGCTGTAACTCCAGTGCAGTTTGGGTAATATGGTTACAGACTATTTTGGGCTCCAGAACATGGCCTTTCCTCACATCAGACCATGCATGGTAAAGTCTCTGCATATTCCAAAGAAGACCACTAATGTCAGTGACAACATAACTCAGGTGCAGGTATGTGCAAGTTTGGAAGTTCCCATGTCCTTTACTTAGCTATCTGGCTTGCTGAGTAAGACCAGACATACAAGCTTAGACAATGGCAAGTGTGGGTCAAACCTGGAATTAAGACTGTAATGATGACCATGAATCTATTGTCAATTGTCAGAGAAAAAAAAAATCCGGTTCACAAACATCCTTTCGGGAAGGAAATCTGCTATCCTTGCTTAGTCTGGCCTACATGTGACTCCAGTCTCACAGCAATGTGGTTGACTCTTAACTGCCTCACCGACAATAAATGCTGGCCCAGCCAGTGATACCGACACCCCCATGAATGAATAAAACAAAA